GGGGAGATGCTGTAAACCGACAGATGTAAAGTCTGAAATGCTTGTATTTTGAGGAGCTACGGAGAGGCCACAGCAGCATGAGTTGCTCTCCCAGCCACATTTGGAACCATCCTTTGAGAGACTGCATCCTGTGGCAGGCGATAGTTCAGTCCAAGCGGATCAGTCTGGGCAGCTTTCAGTGGTAGTGACCAAGCCAATAGCTTCCCAGGCTCCTCTTGAATCTCACTATCTGCTTGAGGAGAGAATGTGATGAAAATAAAATGATTCTGTGTTTTCTGTCCAGTAATTTTTGCTTGTTGTTTTACATAGTCTAGCCCTGAGCACAGATTGAAATAGAGAAAGAGATTTGGTTCTCCCTTCCTCCCCTGCCCACTGCTAATCACATTCCCTTCCTACCTTAAGTAAGGCCACTGCCTAATATTTCTGAATGTTTGAACTGTTCCTTTGGTCTTGGCAGAATAAGATATCATTTGATATTTTCACTCACCTTTTCCAAAGGGGAGACAAAGCACAGGGTAGTGTGAAAAGGCATCTGAAATTATCGGCATTAAAAGACAAAAGCTGCTGAAATGTGAGAGTGATCTTTGAACTGTATATTAAAAATCAAATATTTTAAAAGACTGTTTATGTGAAAATTAATAGCCTGATTTTGTTGACAGTTGAAGTCTTCAGCTGTTACCATGGCATGTTTTAATTCCCTGTCTGCACTGGTATTTCCTTCTGAAGAAATACACAGGCTTATTGCTCTGATATTAAAAATGCCATTTGCTTCTCATGTTCCAGGTGATGATTTCTGTTTAAGTAAACTTATGGTACATGAAGTGAAGGCATGTGAACCTCACAGACAGCATTACAGATGCTCCCTTTTCTCCATCATGTGACTGCTGCCTTCAAAGATCATTTTGTCCTGAGCCTAGACAGTTAATCCAAGTCTTTCACAGAGATAAATATGGGCAGGCAGTATTTTTCAAATAGATTTGAGTAGTGCACAGGGAACTTAAATTGTTTCCTGAATGACTTTTTCATGTGTGAAGGATGTAACTGTAACACAGTTGTTTCTTTAAATTTTTTCTGTACATGTACAAAGCTTCCTTTCCCACAAAAAAGCCAAATCGTATCCAGTTCATTATCTCATACTTGCAGGCCAGGTCAGTGGTCTGCTTTGGGTAGTTGTCTTCAGAAATTCTTCAGACAATGTCTTTGTCATGGAATTTAATGCTGGTCACTTGATTTATTCTTTTTTCCCCCAGACAGACAAGCTTGACTCTTGAGAAAAGGTACAGAGATGTCAACTCTAGTTCTCAGTGGACCAAAGTCCATATCACAAAAAACCATTCCTACAGTGAGTCAGAGTTGCCCTGTGGTTGTAAGTCCAGTGAAGGGTTGAAGCAGCCCCAAAACCTGGCCGTTCAACATCGTCCCTTAGTTCAAAGCTGAGGGGTAGTGGTGAGCCTGTGTGAGGCAATCTGTTCTTCTGCTAGAAATACTGCCCTGAAAATAAGGAGATTTCAAGCTTTAAGTGTGCCAGATAAGACTTTTCTACAGTCATTAAATTCTCACAGAATTTTTTTAAGAGTGTTTTTGTCATGCACTGTCCGTTTTGCTGAGAATATACTTGCCCAAGTTTCATGCCAGGTTGAATCTCAAAGAGACCAAGAGATTTATGAGTACTCTCACAGTGAATCATGTCTGAGATTCTTTTTTGGCTCTTATATTCTTAGCATTAATAAACAGTGATTTCTTTCATTCACTTGCTGCTGGACTTTAGCTTGTATACGTGATGACTATGTTTGGAAGGGATTGAACTGGAGTGATGCTAATATAATTTATCTTACTCTTTGAATTTTGTTTTTAAATGTAGGATCTTAAAAAGAGAAGATTTGCCATCCTACAATATTCCCCCTCCCACCATAACCTCGAGAAAATGTAAATAGAATTGACACCTTCTTTACATTTTCTTGAATGGAGTGTGTTTATTTTGGTTTCAGTTAATCTGATGATAGGTCACTGAACAATGTTTTTTTCATTAACAGCAAATATCAGAAGGCCATGCAGCCTGTAAGGTATCAACATAAGGAAATGAAAAAGAATGTATAGTTCCTCTTGTTGCACTTTCAGCAGTACAGGATGCTCTTGTTACTGTACAAACAATTAGCATAGTGGAAGAGGCATTTTTAATTTAGGACTGTTTAAGTTATCAATTTCTGTATTTTTTAGTTTTAGTAGTAGATCTCATTCTGGTTATATATTTAAAAAGCAGAGTGAATAAAGGTACCTCATTTACTTCATCCTGTAAAGCACATTTTGCTAGGAAATCACCATGGCCTAACTTGAGCCTTTCTGAGGACTGATAGACTTACAGCTTTGAGCCCGGTAAGCCTCTAGTGAGCCTATGCTGTGAAGTATTCACCTCTGCTTTGTGCAGGGAGTTAACTTCCATGTAAAAGTGAAAAAAACAAAGTGGTTCCTGAATTGCATGCAGAGTTTTTCACTCCACTGATGTCATACAGATGCATCAGATTTTGAAGGTATTACTTGATATGATATAATTTGAATCACCAATACACTGCTGATCTAAGTTAAACCACAAGGTTTAAACATGGAGGTTGGAATTGAAAACAAAGTGTATGGCCTGGAAATAGCTGTTTTGGTCCAACAAATTACCATCTCAAGTATAAGGCTTGATTAATTTAAATAATGTATAAAAACAGTTACAAAAACTGTGGCAGAAATGTTGCCTCTAATTAAATTCAGGCATTCAAATGTTTAGAAAGGATCAATTAATGATTGTGAAAATAAAGTAACTGTAACAGTTATACAGACTCTTGTACAGCAGTTTCTGGCAAAAATTACAGCTGACAAGAGGGTAGCTTGTCATCATGAGTAGTTGTACAAATGTTCAAATGCCAGTAGCCCAGAGAAGAGAAACGGAGGCCTTTGACTTGGATCTAATCCTTTGCAGAGCTTAAGGAGTCTAAACACTGTTGGAGGTCTGACTGTTCAATGGGTTTTAAAATAGAAAATTTTCTCTCACACCCTGTGATCAGATTTTCCCATGTTCTTTCCATGCTTTTCAGGCTCCCCAGTACCACCCTCTCTTACTGGGCTCACTCAGCAGAGCCATGTCTCACTGCAGCCAGCCAGCACAGAATGGTGCAGCTGCTAGCTGAGGTAGACTTCAGGCAAACAGTACAATTTTGTACCTAATAGTATCTCTTGAATCAAACATATCCTCGTGCAATCCATCCAGCAGCATTTAAAGGTCAAAACCCCACCTCATTACTCAATATCTAGGCCTTCTGCTTTGCTTTATTCATTGTCTGTGCAGATCTGACAGACTGTTCCAGACCATCCTTGTGTAATGCTGGAAAGTGCTAACAGCCACTGTCCAGTGAGTCTCTCTCTATAAAGGCAACTGCAGATTATAGGAAAGCTGAAGCATTTGTTGCACAGCTTAGATCAAGCAAAATAAACCTTCTTCCCTGAAAACAGTGGAACAGTGGAAGCTGCCATCCAGCAGGCTGTGCCGAGTGCACTCAGGACTGAGCCACACAGGCTGGGGCATTGTTACAGGGAAATTTCTGCAAATGCTGCTGGAGGCATCATTTGATTGCAATGACCACAGGTAGAAAGCACCTAGAAAACAAAAGGAAAATTACAAGATCTGAAAAGAAATTGTGAGCATGCCTGAGAGAAAGAAACAGAAGCATCCCTGCAGTAGCCAGGAACTGGTGGGAAGTCAGGCTTGGAAACAATGAGCCTGAAAGCCTACTGTTATATCTTCTTTATTTGAGAAAGCAACACTTTGTAAAGGTACTCCAAAGATGAGTTCATTCTAATTAGTAATCTGTTCTTACCTGTAATCCCAGTAGTTAAAATATCTTCTTGGCTAGCTATGAAGAACCCCCACTAGCACAAAAAAAAAAAAAAAGTTTATATATATATATATATATATATATATAATTTTATAATATGTGGACCATTTATTAATTTTTAAATTACTTTGGTAATTTATCTAAAAATTCTATTTTTACATATTTTTAACATATATTGTTAAAGAATACCAGTCATTTTAGTTAGTCCTGCCATACTCAAGCTGGCATTAGCTTTGGACACAGGTTCCTAGGTGGAAAGTCAGCACTTGAGAGTAGCAAAGGGATCTCACTGCCCCTGCAAGGAAGCAGGAAGCCTGACTGGAATGGATTTGGGCACTGTAATCTACGTGAAACTCTTATAACAGGAACTGGAAACTGTGCCAATCTGTTCCCTAAACCATATTCTGAATTGGTGAAGGAGGGTGCCCAATTCCTACTTTCAGTCTTCAAAATGCTTACTTTTTCCTCAGCTGTGTGCCAGCCACTTCTGAACATTTTGGTAGTTAACAGTGTATGGTACTAGGTCTGCTTTTGCTTCTTTGTTTCTTCAGTGCAGCCTGTGGAGAGGTTTTCTGAACATTTTAGTCATTAAAGCCCTTTCAAATATGAAAATGTTACGCATGTTTTTTCATTTAAAAAAAATAAAAGGAGAGAAACTCTTTAGACTTGATCTGTTAGAGAACTTACTTGCAGCTTTTTCCAAAATGCATTTGAATGACAAACTTAAGTGTCAAAACTTTGGTTGTGATGCGCATTTGTTTTTATCCTAAGATGAATGAAACTACACTTAATGGAGAAAAAAGAGATTTACTTTTTTGAAGCATGGAGTCTTAGAATTTGCTCTCTACCTATTTTGTGTCCAGCTGTATAACTTCCCTCTCTGAAGCATGTGCATAGCGTGACATTTAAAATACTAATTTGAAATTTAGTTTATTTTTTTGTCACCTGTGCACTGCTTGCAAATGTGTAGGACTTTGTTTTGTCTTCCTTCGCATAGGTGTATGTTTATGTATATACAGCATTCCACCCACTTGCCCCACTGAACGCCAGCTATTTCACTGTTATGGAAACTCAAGGATTTTTGTGTGCAAATCCCTAAACATACTCATTTCTTTTTTTTTACAGCAGCATAAGAAAGAAGTGTTGAGAGCTGCTCTTAACCCTTTTGGAGGCCGAAGTCAAAAGGTAAAACCAAATGCTAATGTTTGTGTTTCTGAAGGTGTTGACATCTTAATTGTTTGGAAATGCTGCTTCCTTATCACATCTAAACTGAGATTTCCCACAGGAGAAAAGCAGGGATACGGTAAGAGGAATCAAAACATTATTAGACCTTTTTAAGAGCCACCAGCATATCTGGGCATAAATTATACAGGTAAGTTACAACTGGTAAACTGCAATTATCTGTTTTACTTAATATGAAAACATTGGCGTTGAGAGTCAATGGGAATATCAGTAGGATTTAATATTGCTAGGGATTTAATGATTTTTGTCTCACTATTACTTGATAGTTTTTATGATATATAAAGTTTTTTCAAATTACAGTAAAACAAATCCTGTAGCTCTCTTCTCAGGCAAGAGTCCCTCAATGGGAGTTTTGCCTGAGTGAGAACTGAATGAGGTCTAAATAATTAGCAATTAAAATATTCAGTTATTGTGCCACTGTATATAACAAAGCACTGGAGGTATTAAAAATTGCTAATCTCCTTCTTATTAAAATGTTAACTGCTAAACATAATACAGTTTTGCATTTCTATCATTCATTTTTGCAGTTCATTAGTAGAGGTGAAATGTTTGTGACAAATAGTCATTTGAACTTTTAAGGGATTGACTTTGTTTTCCTGGCATTTTAGTTAATATTTCTGACTGAGTTAATTTACAAGCAGAAGTTTTTGCATAAGCCGTGGATTTTAGTAAAAAACCTGATCATGAGTGACTTCTCATATGCCATTCATGAGTATTTGCAGAAGAAAGCCAGTGGTAGGCTGCTCCTCAGGAGGCAGGCCTGGGCAGTTTGAGTATGTAATTTATGTATGTTTATGGCAGTTTGAGTATGTAATTTATATACATTTTGATCAAGCAGCTTCTTGTAATGGACTCCAATGATAGGTTAAGGGTTGTCCAAAGGGTTTACTGGACAATTTTCAGGGAGACACTGGCATGTGAACAGTTCTGAGGAGCAAAGTTGTGCACCCCAGGCCTGTTAGTCAGCACATGAGCTCTTTATTACCCTGCTAGTTAATGGAAGGGCCAGACTGTGCTCTCATCCTGTTTCACAGTGCAAAAGAATGAGTGAGATGTGTCTCCTTCTTCACATGGCAGCAGGGGAAGTGTGGGAAGGGAGAGTCATGTTTGGTGTTAGAGAACAGAGTAATAAGTGAAGGTGGTAACTGGTAGAGGAAGAAGATAAATTTATGGAAAGATTTGGTGACAGGTGAATTTCCCAGGGGAAGGCGACACCCTCAATACTATTTCTCCCATCGTCACTCCCTAGAGAAGATTTGTTACTTACTATGCCTAAAGGTTTTTCTTTTTTCTGATCTTTCTGTAGAGACATTTAGACCTAGGCATTTAATTGTGCCATATAACTGTTGGCAATTCAGGCCATGATTCTGCAAGGATTTAGATGTGTATTTCACTTGCAGCATTATGAGTAATCCTGTTGAAATACATGAGATTAATTGCAGAACATAAAGTTAGGCATGTATATTTGTCTTTGCAGTAAAAGAGGTATAGTTTAATGTATTTATTTACTTTCAGGGTGGGAAATTATTTTTAAAAATACATAAATACATGGTGTTTTCCACTAATTTTGTAGCAATAAAAGAGGAGAGGGATGGTAGCAAAATAAGCTTTCTGCTTGCTCCCCAAAATTACATTTTTGTCATGTTCTCAGCTGTAAAGTATGGGTAAGAATAGGCTGCTAACATTTTCCTTTTTGCATGCACAGTTAAACCTCCGGCTAGAATGAGATGATCATAAGATTTATTATAGAGGAGTGAGCAGGACAGAAATCAAACAGGAAGGCATGTGTACTTGTGTGGACTCTTGTTTATAATTTCATCAGATTGGTGCACACCTCAGACATTTTATGTAGTGATAAGATATGCAAATTATTCTGGAGCCAGCAGCAATACCTTCACCTGAATGTCAAAACTGGCAGAGATTTTTAAACCAAACCTCAATAACAACTTGTATTTTAAAGCAACTTTCCTAAGGTATAGCTACCAACTACAGACAAGTAAGTGCAGAATTGTTTCTACTTTCCTTCATGCCATTTTCCTTCCTCTCTTGTTTACCTCCATGGAGGAACAAGGCTACAGGCTTGCCTGTAAATACTGGGTGTAACTATGGGCAACAGTCCAGATGAGCTACAAAGGTATGTGGAAGTTTGTGCAAAGCACAGGAATGCAGTTTGAAAATGGGGAGACATGTGGAATGAGAAGTACCAGAGGAGATATCTTCTGTTTCTCCAGATGCCTACATCAATTCTTTGTATCTCTGAAGGGATGGGTAGCACAGACTCTTCATTTCAACTGCTGGTTCTGTCTTTGGTTTTAGTTTTCTTGCATTTGTGTCCTTTAATCAGAATGTGTTAGTAGAAGCCTGTGGATACAGTGGAATGTTTGGATGGTAGCTTTGCCATGAGATCAAGAGCTGAAATTCCTCAAAGATGTAGATGTTCAGCTGTTGGGGTTTTGGTTTTAAGTGTACATACACTCATGAGAGAAAGAGTGTCACTGAATATGCAGCCTGGGATTTAAATGTTAGATGTGTTTATTTTTTGAATCCTTGTTCAAGTCAGTGTGCACTGACTGTAAAGTGATAATCCTGTGCATTTTCCCTAGATTCCTCCTCTTCTCTCTGTGGATGTTTGCACATAACTATGTCCAAATGCTTCCCTCTGAAGTTTTCTTAGGACTTTCTTGGCTTGTTTTCTTACTGTTGTTGTTTTTAGTGTGTGTACCTAATTAACCAGAAAGCAATCTAGACTGAAAACATCCAACAAAGGGTAACAACTGAAGTTCCTGATTAGAAAGATATGACCTGTCCATAAAATAAGTCCTATAATACATTCTCATGGATCTGGGTGCTGTTTGTGAAAAAGCCAAAATACTCAAGTCTTACTGCTTGTGCTGATTTGGGCCACTGCAGCAAAACATTTTTCTTACAACAACTAATTCTAGGACCTACTTTGATGTTGTGAATACTTGACTTCTACCCACTCAAACAGGAGCACTTCAAAATAATTAAAGTAAATGAATTATCCACACACAGAGCAAACCCTTTCAGAGGGAAAGTGAGTTTAAGGAAAGCAAGAATCTACTTTTTTTTTTGTGTGTGTGTTTTTTCTAAACCATGTATTTCAAGGTCTTCTTAAATAAGAAGCGAATGCTTTTGTTGAAACAGAAAAAATAAACCTGAATTTTGGATTGTCCTTGCTGCCATGGCTGATGAAGTTAAATCATTGAAAACTAAAAAAAAAGAAAAAAAAAAAAAGCAGACGAAATTTGTCTTTTCAAGCTGTAGTGTATTGCCTCTCTACAAAATGCTTACTGAGGTAGCACTGGAAGAGCTACAGTGGGTGTTGTGCTATGTTCACTTTTAATGCACTGCTGTAAGAGGCTTGGAAAGATTTGGAAGTATTTGAGGGAATTTTCCTGATAGGCTGTAGGAATTCTCCTGGTTTAGTCTTTCACCTGCATGGATACACTTTAACCTTCTTTCTGTTGCAGTCCTGGTGCCATGGCTGCAGCTACCAACATGGACACTTGGCCAGTTGGCACAAGAATTGATCACTTGTTGCTGTATAGGGAATAGTTGCCTAGATCTGATACCAATAACCTTCTTAATCCTACCAAAACCTATGCATTCACGTTTGATAAATGTTGATACTGGAATCTGTCATGTTCTTTCAACATCAAGCTTCACAGGAAATCTCTGCATCCGTGTAGAAGTCCTCCTTTACTTGCAGCTCCAGGAGGTGAAATTCTGCTTCTTTCTTATGTTGACACTACATTTGCTGGGTCTTTTTCACTGCTGAATTTAATTCCAGGCATCCAGTAGCATTCCAGAGGAAGAAGGGACCAGCATTGCAGCCTTCACTGATGTTTCTCTGCTTGTGATGAACCAGCCCACTGAGCTGGTTAACCATTACACTGACTTTTTCCTGTTGAAGGCATAGCTGATTTATGCCCAGGGGACATGGGTTACCAGAGCCTGGACCCAAAGTTCAGTATTGTGTGTGCATGTGTGTTTATGTTTACCTGCATGCATGTCTGTTGTGTTATCCAGCAGATATTCTAGTAAAACTAACAGTGCCAGGCCAGTGTGCCTGGTTTTAGGTATAAGTCACAGGTAATACTTTACTCTTCCTCCTTTATTGTTTTTGATAATGAATGTGAAAGGACTGGCCTCTTAAATCAACACACTGTTTCCTCGTTCAGTGCTTTAAGCATGGAGTTTCAGGACGCTAAAATTCTCATTCTTAGAGCACATTTGAATCGTGTGGCCTGTGATTCATGTTGATTTGCCAGGGGCCACAACCTAATACCTCCTCTTTGAAAAAGATAACATCCCTCTTCACTGAGAGTGTAAAAGTGGTGGCCAGAAGTATATGCCAGGGAAGTATTTTGAGGTTCAAAACAAGGTATTTAGGTGTCATGGTTTTTGATCAGATGTGTGCCAGGGTCAAAGCCAAGAAGAAACTTTCAGTCATTCTCATTTTCTTCATCTGAGCTGCAGATCATCTGGTAGTATTTGGATGACGTGGCACAGGTGACACTTGCCACTTTTGCCACATGGAACATAATTTGACTGAATTCTTTGTTCTGTGCCAGTGACTCAGTTTACATTCTTCGGAAAGGATAAATAGCAATTTTGCTGTCCAGATGTCACATTCAGGTGCCCAGTCAGATTAAAGTACTGGTCTTTAATATCTGTGGTGTTTGTTTTGGGAAAGTTAATTTTCTTCAGTGGATAGCTCAAGACAGTGAATTTTTTTGCTTCTTCTCCTGGCCGATTTCTATTCCATTGTCTTTGAAACAGGGAAGACTTGGCTTCCCTGTTTTTCTGTAAAAGTAGAACGTGGCTTGACAAGCAATTAATTGTTAAAGAGAGGGCTAAATCCTCCATCTGGTGGTTCAAGATTTTAACTTCAAATGTTATTGTGTCCTGCAAAGTTCAGG